CTACTCTTAAGACAGAAAAATAAACACAGGAATATAACATCTGTAAAATAATAAAATTTACTTAGTGTAATAAGAAGTTTTCTTTATGTGTTTGCAGATAAACTTCAAGCCCCTCACTACATGCATCAGAGCCCATCAGAGCTGAGCCCCCCCAGAGTAAAAGTGCGGACACACCCCTGTGTTCTCATGATGTAAGAATAATACTTGTGTTCAAGGCTTTACTTTTGAATTTTACCATTAAACTCCATTTAGATTGGTTTATGCAAAAAGATAAAATAATTGCATTCAACTTTCACTTTTGAAAAATTACAGCCATTAAAAACTGCACACTGTAGACTCTTGTGATATGATTTAATATGCAAGCTTAAAAGAAAGTACCATCAACTCCAAGCAAGATCAATCATTATGGGGTCTTTGAAGGGACAAAAAGTATTATATTTATCCCCTCCACAAAGTGCTGGTTTGCTTTATTATGACTGGAGGAGGCAGTTTACCTTCCTTTTAATTTTCCATGACATCAAAGTGTATGCCTGAGTAATAATCCTCTCAAGTCCGTTAAACATCTTTCTTCTTTTTCTGGCTATAGGCTGGTCACTTCTCTCCAGGAAGGCTTCTTGTTTGCTGCCTCACTCGCGCACATACACTCTCAGTGCAAGGCACGGTGCTGCTTTTGAACCCAGAACAGTGAGCTGAACTTTTCAGGTAAACCCAGTGCACCTGCCTTTTTAAGGAAATGGGAGGCAGGCAGTTTTCACTTTGGAGAAAGTCAAAAGGCTCTGTGTGTTTTCCAGCTCAGATGCAGAATGAATAGTGCACTGAACTGTAAAGGGGGCACTTCTTGAACTTCTTCTGCAGTGTTGACCCTTTGCCAGTAGGGGGCAGTCCGTTTCTCACCTCCTAGGTCATGGGACCTGCTGGGTGACGCAGTGGGTGGGCGGGCAATCCAAGCTGCCACCTACTAGTTTGCTGACTCTCTGTGTGACATTGGCTTCATATCACACAGAAGCGTTATTAACTATTCCTCAGCAGAAATGAGCTTTTAATATCACTGACACCGCAAATTTATTAAGAAATATGGAAAAATGAGATCTGGCAGTGTGTTACGAGGAGAGGCCTCGCTCTAAATATGCCCTCAAATGGCTGCCGTTTATCATTTTTAATACCAAAAATGCAATTTAGCAACGTTGTGTATTTTCATTATACATTAAAGAGGCACCTCCTGACAGTATCACCCCTAATGCTGTCAATTAGGTAATTTATTCCAGGGGATTATGACAGCGAATGAGACGAGGTTTCATGTGTTCGGCTAGGCGTTCCCCGGTGCCTGCTGTATAGCTAATCTAATACATAACCCCCTGATTTGTTTAATGGATGAGACTTTGCTGCTGCAAGAGGCACGCCAATAAAAGCCAGGGCCCTCCAGAGGCTATTGTGCCTCATAATGATGCCAGACACACAATGTGAGAGTTATGAAGCAATTTTTTATCATGCGGCACATTGTTTTGCTCTGCTGGTGCCGTGCAAGTAAAGGCAATCTCTCCCTGCAGCACAGCACTTCTCCCCCACACTTAGATAAACCTTCAGTATGATAAAGTGTCCCAGCCACATGTCAAGCAGATGAAGGAAGTTTGTGGTTGAAATACGTGTCCTGTGCTGTTGATTTGCTGGTTCTTTGAAGACAGCGTTTCATTAAGCATTTCTTATGTTTTAGAGGTTTTATTCTACTTTTATTTTGAATGAAATTATTCCTAAGGAGCAATCAAGTCAGTGCTTAGACACCAGCAGACGTATCATACGTCTGCAGCAGAATAACATGTTGATTGCTGACGGGCCGGGAAACAATTTCATGAAAGAAATGCTTCAACTTGGAGATATGTTACACTTCTTTCTGGTGAATTAACAGTGTCTACTTGTGCATTTAAAAGCCATCAAAGATGTCTGTCCTTGAGATAATAGTTGCATATCTAACAGATAAAATTAAGTCTCAACAGCAAACATGAAAGCAAGCGCTCAGTACTAATCTGCCTCTTTCTGCGCGGGACAAAAGCGACTTAAATCATATGCATCTGTAACAGCAGACGCGCTGATCGCAGTCAACACCACAGGTCCTCTTTCACATCTCTGAGTGCTTCTGTCTCTCCAAAAAAAAAAAAAGGGAAAGCTGAATACTTCTTTCAAAATAAGAAAAAAATTCATCTATTAGATACTAGGGTGGTCAAACTTAGAGACATTTGTTATTGTCAAAACAAAATGTTCCTTTGAATAGATATTCTGAAGAGGTCTGAGAGCTGAAAACCTCGGAGAGTTTGTCTTTTTATACACGAGTGAGTTCTAATCAATATCAGCATGTGTGCATTACCAAGTGTGAGTTTCTGTGACACATAGGTCATGCTATTTTTAAGGACTCCCGTTTGTAAATTTCATTTGTTTCAAAGTAGCCCAAATGTAATGGATTTGCTTTTTTTATTTAGACTTATATGTTGCCCTTCACTCAATCACACTATTAGAGGAAGAGAGAATAAAAAAGGGATGGAAAATATGATTCTTTTTAAAGATGGTGAAAATAACAGTGCAGTGAAGTGGTTTTTCCAGGGGAGGAAACGTGGACATGTAGACATATATATGAAGACATTCTTCACACACAGTCTAGTCCAAAACATTGTGTAAAACACTGGGTAACCCAATGTGTAGTTTGAAAAGTTAGGCACATTTAAAGCTCTAGTGAGTAGTTCCAGTCTGGCTAAGAAACAGACTGAAATGTGTCCTTGTGAAACCTTCCACATGGAGACTTTTTAATTTGGTACTCATTTTGATCATCTAAGGGCCTATTTACATGCAAACATTTGCAATCAAAACAGGAAACTATTGGTGCCTTCGAGCTATTTATTTGCAATTTTTGGAAAATGCAACCTCCTCAGTCCACTTGTAAAAGAGCATTCAACAGATTCTTAGTGAGCCGTGTTTGTTCTGAATTTATTAATGCTTCTCGAAACAGATTATCATCTTTTTTAGTGTGCTTCAGCGGTGTTTCATTGTAAAGTTATACAGCCAACTACTGTACAGTAGTTCCTGTCAGTAACACAAAGTCTTTCCAGTTTCCAACAGGGCTGTTCTTTTGAAATCAAGGTCCAAAACCATTGTTGTGTCGGTGGTGGTTTCATATAAATTGTCTGACTGAACTCAGCAAAAACAGGGTCTTTTATTTGCTTTGGCCAAATTCTTTGTGACGCTTTTGAGACCTGAAAGATAACAGGATTACACTGTTTGAAACCAGCAAAGGCGGTGTTTCTAGTAGCTTTAAAACTTTTTTTAAGTGGTATATTTTCTGTCCTTACTGAGCCGCATCAACATTCAATGCAAACACGTTTGGTAAAGACTGTTGCTTAAGATTTATGTGCTTTCCTTAATTTGAATCATTTCCCAAAAAGTTATTTTCAGTAATATTTTTTACTGTCCAAAACTGCGTCATTGTGTGTATTTACTATTGCATCAGCTTTGTGTGCACAACTTTTATGCCGTGTGTCCGATCAGTAATCAACATCCCAAAATAAGAATATTTTCTTAAATAACCGTTAGATGTAAGTACTATTGTTGGATCAGGCAGGCGGATTCTTGTGATTCTTTGTGAGACACATAAAAGATGATTTTATCACAAAAGAGCTCAAGCTGTGCATGATTTGAGATGTTTGCGTGAGGACGAGGAGTGGTTTTAGATTTGATTTTCTATTGTTGCCCAGCTTTCTTACCTATCACAAGGCTGTGTTAAAGCTCCTGTGAGAAACTTTTGATTGGTTATGAAATTTACTGAAAAGAACAGTGATAAATCTATATGATACAAATACAAATTACACCATTAATATCAAATTTGATCTGTTCAATATTGCCTCTAACTGCTCTAAGGTGTACCTGCCACCTCAGAAACATAATTGTAAAGCATGGTAAAAAGCCATATGTTTTATGAATATGTAAAAAGTTGTATGCTGTGTAGTCATCCCCAGGATCAAATACACTTGTTGCAGTGGGATATTACTCATGCAGTGGAGCATTACAGTCCACATCAGTATCAGATTCTTTATGTCTAACAGCTACGTACCAACCTTCACTTCAATGATCTCTCTGCTGTCAGCAAAATCATATGCACACTTTCTACATTTTACAAGAAATGTAAGCTTTTCAATGAAGAAATGAAAATCTCTGCATTGCTGTTTGTGAGTATATGAAAAATAATGTAAATCATGGGATTAGACTTGGTTGACAGCAATGAAAACACCTCACCAGATTCATTCACTATAATCACTGAAGGATGACTGAAAGATTTAGTCCAACTTAAGAGAAATAGTTTCTATCAGAGAAAGCCCTAGCTAAGATTTTCTAAATCTATCACTAAAACTGAAAAGGAAAAAAAATCTACTCCCTCCATGGTGGAGGAATGTACATTTGGGTGTTTTTCATCAGTGCGATAGTCCAGACAGGCATGAATCATCAAAAGTGCCTATTTCCCAGTTTAATCGACTCTCATACTCATTCTCCTAAGAAGAAGGAAGCAACAGGAAGTGTTTGGCTTTATGGGAGACTTGTTTGTGTGCATGCATTTAAAGAGACACATCGACCACAATAGATTTTTCTTTTTTCTCTGAGGATATAGCTATTCCCCTGCACATTTCTCCTCTCACCAGACTCATATGGTGACTAAAGAGTTGAGTGAAACTCCGACTCTCTCTGCATGAGCCTGAGTCAGTGAGCAATAAACAGCGTTAGCGCATTACACACACATGATTACGTGGCCATTTCCTCGGTGAATGAGTCTCATCAGAAGTCAGTGAAGAAGCCACCGAGTGTGTAATTGTTTCCCATTAGGGGAAACGTTGACTGCCATCGAGTAGCATCTCTCTGCAGAGTTTGCTGACGAATGCTCACTGTCCACTCACTGAGGCGGGCTCATTCTGCTGTGGGGGCTATGATGAAATTGCTCTAAACTCCCCCAAAACCAGCGGATCAGTTTGAGGATGAGAGTGATGTATCATGTTTCTTCTTCTTTTTCTCTTTTCTTTTTTTTTTTTGTGAAAGGAACTGCAGGGCAAGAGTTCAGACGTCTGTTGATGCACTGCAGTGACACCAGCCTTGAAACATTATTATCAGTCATATCTGAGCCTGCAGCGCTAACGCCACTGCAGCTTAGAGGTAGTAAGTGTTTTAAAATCAGAGGTGTGTGACTGCAGGGACATGTTTTTACTTAGTTATTTTATTTTCTGATTTTGCTTTTCCAAAGTTAGACTTTAGTACAAAAACAGAAGTGTTGTGTGCTCGTATGTACTCTTCGAGTAATTTGTATGTATCTTAATAAAAAAAAATAAAAAAAACACGCATTCTTTTTTACAGCTATTCTGCAGTGTAATTGTATTTTTAGTTACACCATCAAAAATGAATTCATAAAGATAAAAATCCTGCAGTCCAGACTTGTCGTGAGTTTGTGCAGATGCCAGGTGATGAAAACTGAAGTGCTTACTCTGCAAATTACAGGTCTTGTCAGAAGTTCAAATGAGGTCATCATGTCAAGTGAGACCTAAGGATGAGGCAGAATGAGAACCTTTCGACAGATATTGATGGCTGTATTTCTGCACAGAGGTTGAATAATGATAATGATGAAATGGGAAAATAACCAGCATGGGGCAGAGGTTTCCTTTATGCTGCTGCCATCTACAGGATGGAGGTGGAGGTGTCATTACTGCTACTCAGAAGGTAAAAGGCATTTTTTTATGTCAGTCATAATACTCTTTTTTGTTGTTGTAAAAGAGTATTAAGCCAAATCATGTTTGTATATTCTGTGACTGTTAAAAACAAAGACTGCTTGCTTGTCCATTGAATGTTAAAGGCTTTTGTTGTGTTTGGATTCAACTTATGAAGTTGAGACTTTTAAAATAGATAATATGTGAGGATGTCTTTGCAGTGCCAACTCACCCACGTTTTCAATTGAGACAAGTCTTTTTATTCAAACCAGCAAACCCACCAGGTGTGTTAATGAAACGGCATCTGCTGTTTCTTTATATGAAGGGTTTTTACATAAGGGAGAGGAGTTGTTAAAGCCACTGCCAGCTCAGCTAGACAGGCGGTAACCCCCCCCCCCCTTTTTTTTTTCCAATTATAATGACGAAAAATTAATAAATAATAATCAGTTACGGGAAGTAGTTTGTCTGCAATTTTCTAAATAGATTTGCAAGAAAGAGCTTGTTCTTTAAAGACCATAAAGGGGTTAATTTACTATCACAGAACCTTTACATTCACATAAACACATTATGTGTTCAGTAGAAGTCTGGTTTTATGAATCTTCTGTCATGTGTTGACATATTGTGAAGTTTCTTCAGGCTTTAGACAATCTAAAACCTGACATATCACACCAAAATAAACTTCTGTAAAGGCAGATGGAAAAAAAATTTGAGTGATCAAAGTTGAGCGTCTGTCAAAAGCTGAACTTTTGATGCACATTGGAAAGAGGCAAACATTCAGTGGTAAAAACAAAAGTACTAAAACAAAATAACTATGACTTCACAGCTTTAACTTCTTAAAGCTTCTGTAAGGAGTTTTTTTGACAGTGATGGAATAGACTGAAATTCATAGTGGTGCCTTTTATAGTAAATAAAAGCAAATGAAACAACCAGGGGTATGATTGATGATGTGTCTGTGGTTGTAATTGTTGATGCCTCAAACAAGTGTGGGGTGTGTTAGCTGAGCTGCTGTAGAAACTGGCCTGTTTTTACATTTTCTACATAAACTTTCCTCAATAAATGTTGGATTTGACTGTCTAAAGTCAGCAGATGAGAACTTTGTCAGGGAACACTACTGAAACATGTTAAGGACAAGATAAGAGAGGACTGCTTTGTCCACAGGGTGGCGCCAAAATAAGGACAAATCAAAAATTTCTCTTGGGAGCTATGATAATGTGCCAAAAGTGGATGTTTATGTACATGGGGCATAACCCTTCTAACCACTCAGACAATTCTTAGCTTCTTAGCAAATCTCTCACCTGTCACATTTCCGAGTCTGTAAACATGCATCAAAGAAAAGAAAGAAACTTACACAGCAACCGAGAATAACTCTGGTTGTGTTTAAAAAACTTTGTTCCTATAAATGTAAATCTCAGCAGAGAAACTTGTTCAGTTCAGTTCTCAGTGTTTGATTACAATAAGTGTCCACTGGATGGCAGCAGGACAGAGGCGCTGGAGCAGCATACAGACACAGTCACTGCAAACACAGACAACACACACACACTGTCTCACTGGTACATGTATACAGTGTCTCCTTGTATGTGTGGGTGGACAGAAACATTTTGCAACTGAATGTAAATGAGATAATGCTTGGATGAGAACTCTTAATCTCTTATTGAGCTACGGAGTAGACAGCTTTTTCCAAATGTGTACAAAATAGAGCAAAAAAACAGCATTAGAAGTCAAGATCTTTAAGGCATGGCTAAATGTACACACATTTTCAATTAGTAATATGTATAAATATCCCTATGGAGGGATAATTTTCCATTCTTGTTAGTATGGAGAACATGGGGTGTACGAGGATATTTTAAAAATCTTGGAGCTCAAACTTCTTAAACTTCCTACTTCTGTTTCCAGGCTGTTAGAAGATACTGTATTTAGCCTAAACTCAAAGGACACTTCATGAATCCCCAACCACTTGTGAAGGTAAACTAGCTCCATAAATCTTAAGTTTTTACACGATCTGATGTTCTGTTCAGTCAGCATGGATGACAACAGCCCCACAGCTTTTCCCAAGAAATGAGATTCAGAGACCTCCACTGTGTGTTGACTATAAGACTACCTTGTCCTGTTTCAGATGGTTACTTTCTCAATGAAAGCTCATTTCGAAGCCCAAACAACTCAGAGCCACTTTGAGGAGACACAAACAGGCCTCAGATTTCTGTAACTGAAAACAAATGGAGCGAGAAGTAAGCATTAGCCTGACTTATAAACCAGTTTAACCAGCAAGACAGCATCAGACAAAGATCATTTATTGGTTTCAGGCGGATTTTCCAGCATTTTTTTCAGCCTCACTGCTCTGAGGGACTGTACCGAGGAAGTACTTTACTACCACTGTTTGAGATAATTAATGCTATTGACTTTTGAGGCTTGTTAAATATTCTGACATACAATCACACTGAAGAAGAAGAAACTGAACTCTGATAACAGAGAGCAGCTTATTTATGTTTGATATGAATTCACATGATCCCAGTCTTTTTGGTTTTATTCATGTCAAATTATCCACATTGGGAGATTTGTGTTTATACGCAGGAACACTCTTAGTAAGGGAGAATGATGGATATGATTCACACAAAGGTTTGAAAAAGTTGTCAAAAAGTGTATACAGATACAGGAAACTGCATTTCATAGAAGCAAATTCTATACGTTGAAGGAAAAATGCGTTTGGTTTGGTTTGGTTTGGTCTATTCAGCACATAGTTTAATTTTTAATAGTCTCTCTGCAAGAAGCGGCCTTGTTATATGCATGTCAGTCTATCCATCAGCTCCCTCCACTGTGTTCTTGACCGAAGAGCCGACAACCACAAGAGATGTGCTGACATTTGCAAATCTAAAGGTGAGAAACGTGCCAAAGAGCGCTCACAAAAACTGTTTTCGTCTTGACTTTCTTGGTCCCTTTTCCCCTGAAGTGCAAGATAAGCTAAATGTGTGAAATACTGAGTCCATAACAGCTGCTTCTCAGCTCAAAAGTGCAAACTTATCTCCAGAAAGAGACACTGTCATTCTGTTTTTGCATTTAAAATTTATATTTTTTATTTTTCTATCACTGAAACTGGAACATTCATTTCCGTACTTTGACAAATTCAGAGCTCAATGATCGCACCATCATGGATACATTTTTGATTCACCTGTCACTTCATGCTGTCTCTCATATGAGAAGTGACATACATCATAGCTGTGGGATTACCAGCAGTGATGACTCTTCACTCTGAGTAACAGGACTGTCCCAGCCTCTCAGAAGAGTGGTAAAAGCAAACTAAAGTGTGACCCCACAGACAGTGAAACGTACTTTTACTACAAAGCAGACGAAACATGGGCCATAATTCAAAGACAGATTTCAGTCTGAGTGGTAGAGCTATGTCAAAATGAGAACAGGATTATTCAGGTGGGACAGTGAGTGTAGTTTGATGTGATGTATTCTGATGATAGAGAGCAGAAAGACACGGATACAGGGAGGGGCGAACAGGCTGTGAGTCCCCGGCCCACATTCAGCTGCTGAGAATGTGATGCAAATGGAATAACTCAAAGGGCTGACATTTACTTTTGCACTTTGGTTTACAGTATATGTGGTTGCCCTTTAAATCACTTGTGATCATTTTTGAACATGGCTCCTTCTGTCGACCCCTTTTAGGTCCTTCCCCTGAAAAGTGATAATATGTTCTGTGGAAAAGAAAAGCAGCTGAAAAAGACAAAAAAAGTGAATCATTGAGATGATTTGAGGGGGATATGGCAGGTGTTATAAATGCTTAATGGCTCAAATAAGAAAACTTCCTTCTCTTTTTAGAATAAAAAAAGAAAAGGCAGGTTTTGTGTTCACATTTATTTCCTGTTTTCAGTTCAGCTCTTTGCAGCTGTGCATCCATTTCTGTCAAACCACCGGTGCATGTATCCCCACATCATCCCTGTGTCAGGCTCCTACAACAAACCCAGTGCTGCATGACAGCCCTCAAACTGTAGCTGGCTTCCCAGTGAACTCTTTTATTTTTTTCACTCTTCACGCTGATCAACAGGTGCAAAATGCTCTACAAAACCCCACTTTCGCTCTTTCTGTCACGTTCTCTATCTTCCTGTGCATTCATCCCTCTCTCTCTCTCTCTCTCTCTGTTTCTCTATTTTACCACTAGCCCCTCCAAACTTGCCCTCCTGCTAGTTTTGCTTTCTCTTTCTTTCTCCTGTTTTGACTTTCCTGCCACCTTTCCCAGGGTGAAAGTGAGCTTCAAACTCTTTCTTTTTATTTGCACACTCTTCTGCATTTCTCTCCACTGGTCTTTATCTCTCGTGCATGCTGCTCCTCTAGACATGGCTGCACAGCGCGGCTAAGCGGAGGAAGGAAAGTGGAAGTTCCCCCACAGTCCTACTTCCTCGCCACATGAAAATTGCGACCTCGCTCTTTTTAAGCACTCTGACCACAAACCTGCCCGACGTTACACAGAGGCCTTTGCAGTTGACACCAGTTTTCCTCGCATGCATTATGGTGTCTGTGCACGAGATGTCAAGAAAAGCTTGGTCTCAAAATGCTAAAGCAGCATCTTTATTTACAGCTGAGTGCAAAAGTAGAAATCACGTGCAATGTAACTTCCAAATATGTATATTTTTGCACGAAATGAAAAGTTTTTGGCAGCTTTACTTTAGCAAAGCTAGTGTAAGTGATAGCACATTTCTGTGCAGCCCAACTATCTTGTCAAATCTGGGTGTGTAACTGAAACAGAGTGGGTGTGTATGCATGTCTTTGCTGGTGTGTGAGGCTTTAAAAGGCCAGTCCAAACATCCACCATTACCTGGCAGGAAAAACAGGAATGGGACTTGTCGCCAGATGATTGCACAACCTAGTCGTGGATTCTCTCTCGGCTGAAAAAGATCTGGAACTGCACAGCTCACTGCTCTGTAACCTGAAACCCAGAGGACTGGCTGTGCCACTTGTTGCAAACACAAAAGACACGTGCTCAAAAAAATTAAATGTCAAATTAAAGATGTCCTTAACTTTGATATTATGATTATATGATGTTTGAACCTTGATATTAGTACATTTGAACCACTAACAGTGATGATTTGAGGCTTTTCACACGTGAGACACAACGGAAGATGTTCACGGTGTAGAACAATTGTTTGCTGAAGTGCCAAATTGTGGTGAGTTTTGTGTCGACCTGAGGTTGCACAATGGGACTGTGTGGATGTCTGCAGCTTCTCTGGCTTTCCTCACCCTGTTTGCTCTTATTATCTAACACAGTCTGCAGATGGAGAGGCATGGGCAGTGGAACCCGACAGAGGAAGTCTTGCAACCAGAACCGCAGAGCTGCCTCAGCCTTGCCTCACTAAGAGAAAAAACAACAACAAAGAGAGAGAAAAAAAGTAAATAAAAAAAATAAAAAAACATCCACTTTGGACAGAACCATTATATATTTTGCATTATGCTAGCAGTGACAGTATCTTCCTGTAATGCTATCTTTCTGATTCACAGTCTTAGGTTCTCTAACGTGTAGGACACATTTAGGAGTCCTGTTTTGTTTTAAAATATAAAACCTGATGTGGTTTGTTACCCCAACTCCAAAACTTTACTGCTGCAAATATTTCAAACACTAATGTGAGTTTTTTCGAGGAATGTCTGCACCAACAAAAAGTCTCTTTAAGTAAGATTTTTGTAACTTTTGGGGATATAGTGAACTCAAAACTTCCATCTAGCAGGTAGCAATTCCATCAGAACCCGACTCATAGTGCAAATACATGATGCAAAATAAGATGAGCAGGACCCTGGTGAGAACAGGTGAACAGCATTTAGACAGGATTGTAAGAATATTGATGTTGATTCTTGTCTTCGCTTAGCCCCGCCTCCTTTTGTTAAACAGCTTTTCACAGTGTTTCAAGTATCTCTACTTCTCCAGGTTCAGGACGGCTAGCAATCTGTGACTGAAAGATCCAGTTGCTATAGCTCGGCTGTCGATACCTGGATTGCAGCAGAGGATCCAAGATAAATGCATAATGATGTTTTTTTTTATTAAGCTACCAATTTTATATACTAACTGAAACAAAAGTTTTTGCCTCAATGTTTACCAAGTTTATGGTAATGTAAAAATGTAAATGTAATGTAAATGTTTTTTTGTGTTGCTGTCAACAAGCAGATGAGAGACTCACTGGAATTCCACCTTGAGTGCATTGATCTGAAACCACAGGAATGATCTGGCCAGCCAGAATCAACACTGACTGTGTATTTAACACAGTCAGGTGACAGGATGGAGAGATAATTAAGATAAAAAGAGATAATTGTACGGAGCCCAGGAGGTGACATGAACTTTTTTTTTTTTTTTAATTTGCATGTGCGATACGTATCTCATACGTGCATTTTATTTGTATTTTGTGCATGTATTTTTGTAAATAATCCTCCGCGCGCCTTATTTGTAAGACAAGAAGGACACTGACATGGACAAATCAATACTTTATAGCTTTGCCACATTTGGTATTGTTTTGAGTAGGAGACGCCTCATCGGGATCTTTTAAGCACAGCGACTTTGCCATTGGCAATATTCTGACTTGCAGGAAGTGATTTTGTTTATTAACCAACAGTCAAATCGCACCTGCAATCTAAAAAAAAGACACTAGAATGCATGTGCAAGATACTAAATGAGTGAATAAAAAAAAAGTTTATGTCAACTCCCAGGCTCTTTATAATTCAGTATGAAGGAAATGCCAATAATAATATTAAAACTCCTGTGAGGACTTTTTAGCTAGTTGTGTAACAAATTAAAATTGATACTGATGCCTCTATCTGACCTTGGGGGGCAAATAAGACCATCAGCGACAAAAATATTAATAGTGTCTGTAAATAAGTAATTCACTGTGAGTGAAATGCTTGACAGGAAAGGAAAACATCCTACATAAGGAGACATTACTTTCTCATGTACAGGACCACATTAATTAAAAGAGAAAAACTATTAATTTGTCGAATGATGGTGCAATAAAAAAAAAAAAATGTATACAGGAGCTTTAAAACACAAAAAGCCTCGCATGGGCAGTTTTATAAACAGTTCATGTGAGAAGTTTTTATTTGTTCATTAAAACTATATAAAATTAAAAATGAAGACCATTTAAGACCCACAAAAGCAAACAAAACCATCTGCATGAAGACTGAGTATTCTTGTTCATTTTTAAATTATATATCATGTTATTGTGTCTAAAATATGCTGAAGATTATTGATGAGTGACACAACTTTCTGTTCAAATAACGCAGGGTAAGATTTTTCTTCAAAAACACTGCTAACAAATGTAAAGGCACGGGTCAAAGAGGAAACTGGTTGGAGCTGGGGGGTGGGGGCAAAAGTAACACAAACTGAAAGTTCCTCACTGTCCAATAGATCAGAGTCTTTGCTCCACATCTGGACACTCAAACTGGTAATGACTTCATCTTGATATAACAATATTTTTATGACATTTGACAAACTCTGCCTGTTTCCTGCATTGTGGTCGGTAAAGAAGGCTGTCCAAAGTCGATAATATCCTCACCTGAACCCCGGGCTGCAGCTGACATTATTGATTGTAGTTGTCATTTGGCCTTGGGCGAGGGAAAGAAATACATCAATTTAATACTTTCCTCTGCCCCAGAGAGACATGTCTGGTCTCTGCACAAAGAAAACATTCTTTCTTAACAATTTATAAGAATTAATTTTGTCCTTAACCGTCGAACAGCTGTCAGTTACTAGAGTCCTTTTCATTTTGAATAAAAGCTTCCATTTTCTTCAACTCCAGAAAAAAGCTGGATCAAAGAAATGCAGTAATTATTACTCAAAATGAGAACTGTAATTAAAAGTAAATGTTCTCTTAAAATTGTTTTCAGGGTCTAACAAATAGCTTTCTTTCAGGGGAGCGCCACAGAGTGAGTTTCAGGTGTATCACTCCTGCATTTTAAGTATGAGTCAAACTGAGATGTGATCTAAAAAGGAACAAACAATCAACTGGCACGCAGGTAAATAGAAGGATCTGAAGATGAAAAGATACAGTTTGGGGTCTGCTCAGGCTTTACACTTCTCGCTTTTGCTACCGCCTTCAGGCAGCTTTGATTTCTGTGTTTTTGTTCAGAAAATGTGTGTGTGAGTGAGAGTGTGTGTTTGTAGATTAAAAAAAACAAGGGGGTGAAGAAGACTGCTCTGACATTTAGAGGCTTCGACAGGCTCTGGCGCCCACCTGTTAGACAAAGAATGGCGGAGAACAAACAGCAGTCATTATATCGCAAACTGCGGCTAAAGCTGTCTTCACGGTCGTGTCATCAGTCGAGCTGTATGCAAAATTTCTAAAAATCTGACTTTGATTCTTTACATGAAGACGGAAACTTTCAGAAAAAGAAATCACAGGAGCTTCTTACGTCTCTGAACCTGAACAAGTTTGGCTTTACTTTGATATCAAGCAGTACCCATATCTATTCCTCTCATTATTCATGTCCAGAAAATAGGAGTAAGTCTCAATGGGAAAATAGGTACACTGACATAATTTGTTGACATTGTACAGACTAGCTGGGGAGCTTTCTCTGAACTAAACAGCAGCAGACAAGAGCAGTGTTTTTAAAGTGAGGGGTCTGACCCTCCACGAGATTTTTCATCAGAAAACCCAACGTATGCAAGAAGATCAGTAAAAGAAGATAAGGCGAGAAAGGTGAGACACTTTGTCTACGGGGGGTGCCAAAATTATACCAAACTAAAAGCTGAAAACTTTAAATAGGCTTACACACTCGGGTAAGACAGTTTCCATGCCTCAGAACGATGAAATAAGAAACCACAGCCAAGGCAGTCGAATGAACTTTTTAATAGAGAGAAACCCATGCCTCAAAAATATACATTGTGTTCTTCACAGCAGTGTGTCTTCATTTAAATCCATTGACATCTAAATCAGGGCTGAACATTCCTCTAACTTCCTTCACCACGTTTTTTTTGTTTTAGATTCATAAAAGTCAGGAGAAATTTCCAGAAATTTTTAACGACTGTGCGTCTCTTTTGATAAATAAATCACATGTTTTAGGACATAAAAATACATAAGCTATGCAAATACCTGAGAGCCCTCTCACTGAAAAGTCCCTGTCAATATCATAGATGATCAATCCTCACACATCTCTGGATTAGTCCAATGTTCAGTGCCAAAATATACACCTTTCATATATTATTTCTTAAAAAATACATTTCACCTGAGCCCAGCCTTTACATTTTCTGTAAACATTTTTTTTAAACTTCAAAAAAAAGAAACACGCACACACAAAGAGAGTTCACAAAACTATTTGGATTGATACTTTAGCAGAAAAATAGACATTTAGCAGACACATTTTCAAAGTTTACAAAAACAGAACAAAAATCCCCATCATGTGGTATCATAGCTATGATTCTGATTTCAAGTAAACTCCTTTTTTATCAGGAGGACAGACAGAAGACCTTTTTTTTTTCTTTTCATACTTTTTTTGTTTGTATGGCTGCTGCTTCATTTGGAGAATTTGTGTACAAGTAAGGCTGTCCTTTTCACAACGTTGTTAGAAGATCAAGAAAAATATATACGTCTGTGTCCCAAAAATTAGTTGAGGAAATGAAAAGAAAATACATTTGTTTGAAAATATCCTGTCATATACTGCGCCTTATTTTATATTTTTATCTCATTAAAGAGGTTCTTTAAGATAAAATCAAAATATATAGATATATTTTTAAATTATCATCAGACTGAGAAGGTTTGCTGTTTTGACAGGACCCGTGTCTGAACAGATAAGGCTTCCGATAATGAACATATGTACAGGAATAACAGGGGAATGTATAGAGTCAACATCACAGCTGTGAGGTGTAAACAACTTCCAGCGCTGATACATTACAGACAATAAGTTTTTTTATGCTAGCTGGGCACCAGGTGCATGTAAATGGAGTGACATGTAAACAGAGAAAAGCTGCCTTTTGATCACAAGTAGACACAGAAAAGTAAACCACAGAGTTAAACCTCAGAAAATCCTCCTTTAATGACCAGTATGAAACCAGTAATGTCAAATTTTCTGTGGGTGCTGCTGACATAAAAAGCATGGTCATCAGGCAGCGTAGAAACCCCTCCTCCCTAATATCTTGGGCTTCAATATACACTACAAGAGAAAAAAAGTGATCCTTGATTTCCACCTTTACCTTGACTAAACATTAATTTCAACTATAAAACCAACCTAAAAAATTAGGACATAAAGTGCAGGGCCAACTGTATAGTCTGAACAGTCTTATCGAAGTCCTTCAACAGAGAGGGACAGCAATGAAAAAGCAGCAATAAGCCTTTTTTTTTCCTTCAACACACTATAAACAATGGAATGATAAATTCAGAGGTGGACAGCGGTCTGTTTTCTACTCTCAGTTTGAAATTTGCATACACAAGTTAAGCATGTTCTCAGAGGTGACTTGCAATGCTACAGTTTAAAGAAGTGCTTTCAGAGCAGAGCAGTACTACGACGGGATAAACTCGCTTCTTCTTCTTTCCTTTTGCTGCTGGCTCAAGCATGAAAAACATGTGTGTGTGTGTGTGTGTGTGTGTGTGCGTGTGTGTGTGTGTGTGTGTGAGAGAGAGAGAGAGAGAGAGAGAGAGAGAGAGAGAGAGAGAGAGAGAGAGAGAGAGAGAGCATGCTCGAGGTTGAGATTGTGTTGTGAGGTGCAGAAAATAAGTGAGTTAGTTCAAACAAGATCTGTTTGACAATAGTAAAACTGGCCTGATAAATTCCTACCTTAGACACCAAAAATCTCTCTTGAATCTCAACTACGAATAACTTTAAGAGGAGATTGACATGAAGTTTTGACGGCTACCATGCACAAAAGCAAGACAGCAAACTAAACCATAAAGTGGACTGGGACATCAGGTAATCTAATGTTTATCAATGCTATATCTGATTCTCTCTCTATGCTGCTTTACATTCTCAAAATCATCAGACTCCAGCCAGGTATCATTTCCTGAACTTTGGCCTCTCCGATGACATCATGGGGTATCACAGTGCATTTCTGCCAGATTCACACAAACTCTGATACTCAAAGCTGTCCTCAAACTGTGAGCAACAACCATGAATCACCAGCATCCAGCAAATCTAAAAGAGCAATCAGGGACAATGGGATTGCCAATTATTTGTGTTGGGAATGCATTAGCTTGGCAGCATAGAGAAGAAGAAAGAAAAGGAGAAAAAGATGGCCAACTTTTGCTGACCTTTATTGGATGACAGGGCTGACAAAAACCATTAGATTAGATTAGATTTCCTTCTTTTCCTTTCATTGTGATTTTGGCCCATGATACTTCGTACCTCTGCCTTTTTAGTAAAAAGTGAACGATGCTGACAACTTTGAAAAGAATGAATCTCTCACAAATGCACTTTCATGGGACAGAAATACAAAAGATTTCCAAATTGTCTGAGTGTCTATTTTAGAAGAGTTGAAGACCATTGGAGTCTGACACCAGTTGATTAGAAATTTTTCATGTATTAACTTTGATATAATTGCACTGGAAATACTAATTACTGAAGTGAATGCCTTTCTGTTATTTTTCCAATCAAATAAAACAATTGTCATATCTGCACACTGAAAAACTTGTACTGGAAAACTTTAAATATATGGGATACCCAACAAAATAAACTGAAGTTGGATCAATACAGTCCTTTTGAAATATTATTTTTCTCAACCGGCATCATAAATATTCAAGGGACTGAATTTGAAGCATGTGCTTTTACTCGCAACTAACCACAGAAACTAGGTGAACTCTGTCAGTTAAACCTTGTAAACTGAAAACATGGATGATTTAAAACAGGAACTCAAACTGCGATCAGCTAGCTAGCCCTGCCCTGGCTCTGAGCAGAGCTGCCTTGTTACTCTGGGTTAAGTTTTAGTCTGCAGTCTTCAGATTTTCTTAATAGAGGCTTTCACATCAGATAAACACTACTAAGCAGATGTTAAGAGGTAGTTTTCTGCAATTTACTGACATAGTAGCTTTTGCACAGAGCTAGCAGTAGATCTTTTTTTTTCTAGATTTTTATCAGTAAAATTAGCAACCAGTAATAGTTAGCAAAATTTGTGAGCTATTAATAGTGACAAAGTGACCTGCAAAGCTAATTTCTATTTCCGGTAATTGAACATTTACTTGCCACCCAGGACTCGGCTTCCCTTTTTGATTTCTTTTTATGCACTTCTGTTATTTACCTTTTCAAAAATTAAATAAAATGCAAAAGTCCCAGAAAATGTATTTGATGTTGTATCGGTTGTTGGGGGTCACTGGTTCAGACTTAGGTCGCTTTCACACCAAAGCTGTTTGGTCCACTTTAAACGGACCAGAGTTCGTTTCCTCGGATAGTCCGCTTCGTTTGGGCAGGTGTGAAAGCTCACTCGAACTCTGGTGCGGACCAAACAAGCGAACTCTGGTCCGCCTGAAAACGTGGGTCTCGGTTCGCTTGTAAGTGAACCCTGGTTTGGTTTGTATACAGTATGAAAGCTCACAAGACCAAATGTACGTAATGACGCTATACGCAGTGCATCTTGGGTAGAGGAAGCACGGCGGCCGCTGACATTAGCAGTTGCTAGCTAGCTTAGCTCAATTGTCTGAACAACAATAACTCATAAATTCCCAATTTGGCATATTTAAACAAAATGAAATCACAGCTACCAACTGTCACAGTCCTTAAACTCTGAGCTCATATGTTGTCACATGTTAGATCATCAAAGTTAGACAAATAACAGGATCAATCCCTGACAAGCTACAATAGCATTATGGGAACAGTTGCGTTCACTAACGATGTAGCGTTCCATAAAATAATGTGACGAAGCACGATACAAGATGGCTAGTCCAACCCTGTTTGTAATCCGTGAGGTTACATACCCCTCTTATACTGTATACTTTGAATTGACGAGCGCCCCTTTCAACCACGTGATGCTGCTCGGAAAGTTTGGTGTGCTTTAGAAATCACAGTGTGAAAGCAGAACTGAAACAAGTGATAAATGCAACAATGTTGTGACTTTCAGCTCCCCAGTCAAACCGAGTCCGCTTGGTCAGGTGTGAAAGCGACCTTAGTCAGCTAAATGCTAAAGATGAGGATAGCACAACTCAAAACTTTAGAACTAATAGAAAGTGGGCAAAAACTTCACCGCTAATCCAAAGTTTAAATATAAATGGACTCTGAGTTTCTTCCAGCTCAAAAAATGCTATCAAAGGACTTCATGATTTAAAACTGTTATTCATTATGGGCCACGGCAATGTCCCAAATCTAACAAACACAGTAAGATATGCTATTATGCTAATGTTTTCATCAATGAATCAACCAATAGTCCAGTTTCATTCAAAAAGAAAAGAAAAAAAAAATACAAAGAATACCTGAAGTTCTTGGTTGATCAGTTGCATTTGGCCCCACAAGGCAGGATTGTTTCTAATATTAGTTTGCTTTAATTAAGATCTTTAAGAATAAAAAAGTAGGTAGGAAATACATGTCAATGGAATAAGCACAAAAGTAGACCTTTCCTAACAAGACTCAAAAGAAAACTAGTCAAAGTCGTCTTACAGCTGCTCTGTTATGCAATTCAAGAACATAAAATCTTACCTTCCTTCCTCTGCATTACTCTTATTTAAATACGTAGAAAATGTGTCTTTGGCCCGTACCTTCATATGATTGTTCAACTGTTCATATTCACAAAGTAGCTTAAAAAGAAGTTTATGCCATGATTGTGCTACACTTCTCAACAGTGCTATTCAACCGTGCAGTCTCAGAGGTCTGGGGACAAGGACGGATCTCAGGCTATTGCTCCTTTCCTTTCATTGCCTTCAGCTAATTTCCTTTTCATCCGTCTACTGGAAGGTGTGTTCACCGCGGACTATGTGGGAGGAAAACTCATAGCGGTCTTTGCTGCGGTGACCACAAATGTTGCACTCCAGTGGATCTCTGTATCCATGGCAGCCCATGTGGATGGTGTACATGACATGGTCGAGGAAGAGCACCCGACAGTGCTCACATTGGAAGGCCCGCAACTCCTGGCCTTCTTGTCCCAAAACCCGCACTCCTTCCTGGCTAATTGGTTTCTCAGCAGCCATCCGCATGATCCCAGGTCCAATCCCTGCCCCGCTTCTCGGAGACGCTTCTGACCCTCGCTCCCCTGAATAGACCACTGCTGGACTGGCTCGAGACCTTACACCTTGAGGCACCCCGTGGTAGCCCTGCCTTTCCTGAGGGCTGCTGCGAGCTGAGTCAGCAGAGTCAAGTCCACTGTGGCTGGGAGATTCATCTTGCCGTGGGTGGTTGGGTTTACCATGCCGGGCTAAAGCAGTGGGCCCATTTGTGATGGGATGGCTGGGGAAGTCATGGGGCTGTGGCATAAGCGTTTCACAGTTTCCTGAACGCTCTGTTCGTTGGCTTATGGGGAGGACATGGTGGAAAAGAGGATTGACCATCGGCACCACCTCTGCCATGGAGAGAGGGGGACCTGGATGGTGTAGCATGGGCCGGAGAGTGTCAGATCCCAGGTATGACATGGCGTTGCTGATGGCCTGGTCCATTAGATGAGGCGGCATCAATTCAGCCTGCTTCTCATACTTCAAACCCATCTCATAGCCTAATTCAGGGTAGCTGTAGCGTACCATCTTTTCACCTGTATGGAGTAGATAAACATCATAAATGGATAGACTTGGAAGATTTAAATGTCAATGCCATTTTGAACAGACACAAAGATGAGTCAGTTTAAATTCAGTGACGGGCAGGAGGGAAAAAAAGAAAAAAAAAAAGGTCTTGTCTTTGGCTTGAATTGAATGCTTGCAGATCTGAGCTCGGTTTGACTTCATACATGTTGTGAGTAGTTATTATTGTCAATATTTTGGGCAAAGTTTTTCATATTTTGTACATTATGTTCTGCATGCACACATCTAATGGGGTGGAAAGCCCCATCCATCTACTACTTCAGTGTTTAACCCCTGTTGAACAAGGATGCGGTGAGCTGTTTTCTCTCGATAAGCTATGGTAGAGTTACAGGTGTACCTAACCACAAAGTGAAAAACATTTCCTTGCCTTTCAGTCAACCGCATGCTCTGGTTTGCTTAGTCTCCTTTTTTTTTTAATAGTGCGGCAAATAAAACCAAATTGAGAAAAGTGAAAACAGAAGCAAACAAGTATCACATAGTGGCAATCAGAGCATTTGTTTCAGCGTCTGCTTGGATAAATTACCTTTATTATGATTCATATATTTACAGTGAATGATGAAAGAAACAGTCAAAAAAACATTTACTCTCTGGCTGGATTTGGATAACCCACCTACAAATTTCTGTGGCGTGGTGCTCTTTCTCTTGCCCACGTTGTTGTGCAGCCTTTCAATAACAGGCGGCCGATCAAAAGTCCCAATGCTGTTGGCTTCTGCCATGGGCCTGGACTCTTTGGGAACGTCACCTTAAAAAGTTTAGGAAGTAGGTCAGAAAAAATGTCAGACCACAGCGACAAATAAGTTTGTGGAAAGACAGACTCCCACACACTGGAAAGTAAAGCTGCTGAAATAAAGAGATGACTTTCTTTGTTATCTGAAAATGAAATTGAAATAGGAATTTTGTTTTTTTTTATATTCACCACTAATTTAAACCTCATTCTCAGCTCCACTGCATCTCTTGAACTGTCCAAATACATTCATGAACGATGTATCGTCTACAATGAATAAATAGATGACTTTACTGATAAGAATTTCTAAAGGTCAAAGTCAAAACAGATGCATATTTAAAAATAAGGATGTCTCTATTAAAGACGGTTTTAAAAGTGGAAGAAATGACCCAGAAATAAACTCAGTAAAAAATCTGTAACAAACAAACAAAAAAAAAAAACATAGATAGATAGATAGATAGATAGCATGTTTAAGACTATGTTTGCACTCTTACACTTTTCTTTTAAGATGAAATATGTCTTCATTATTTCACAGTTGTAATAATTTGAAGAGTTTATAAAGTGCAAATAAGATTCACAAACATTTGTCACTGTTTTCTGTTTCGTGTCATGCATGAGTTCACCTTCATTTTCATGGATTCAGTCGTATGTTTACCCTTACCTGTGTAAGGGCCGGTGTTGGCGGCCGGATCCAGACCCATCCCCTGCAGGTAACTATGGCAGCGCTCTTTGTGTTCCTCTAAAGAAGTGCGCTGTTTATAGCTCCGCCCACAGTAGTTGCACTTATGTGGTTTGCCAACTAAAAATGAAGACATTAAACAGGAGCATATTAGTTTCATTCACAGCTGCGCAGACACAGTGAGTAGGTAGTGTCTTGATGAGATAGTGCTGCAGAGCGTAGTAGTAGAAGTCAGTAGTAGAAGTGAACCAGCCTCTGAGGTCATGGATATTCCACTACTAGTATGAGGATTCCAGACACGAAGTAAAATGTGGGCACGGAAAGAGTTGCACAATGAAGTCTGTATTCAACAAACCTTTGGTGTTCTGAGACTCGACTACTCCTACTGACACTGGAGTAAGTAGTTAGGAAACTTAGTCCAATGATAAACTTTACGGAGGTGGAATCTGATTCATTTCTGTTTCATTCAGTTTCTTCCGACAGAAAAAAGTGGAACAATGAAGACTTACCCTGTGCCCCCATCTAACTAGTTTCTCTGTGACTGAGTTGTGAGAATCAATGCTCAGATCATTGTGTTAGTGAAAAAATCAATGCACTAAATAATGACAATTTTGATTAAATATGTGTTTTGTGGCCGATCTAGGGTGCTGAAATATGCAGGGGGTGGTATAAAGTGTGTGAACTAGCAATCAACCTTTAATTTTATTCTGCCTCTAGTACCAATCATACCTACTTAAACCAATAACATACAGATGGTTTATTCTTGTGTATATATTCTTTCAGCTTTGAAAAGCAACACAACAAAATGGAAACACTGAAATGTGGTGGTTGAAGACGCTTTTCTGGTTTGTGATTGTTATATTAATATTGTTCTTATGTTACTAAATACCTCATTCTTTTGCGGTTGTTTTCTCATTGTTTGTTTTGAGGGATTCGAGGGATGAGGATGATGAGCAAAAGAGTTGGAAGTTAACTTAAATGTTTGCTTGTACAAAATACCTCTTTTTTTTAGTTGTTTTAGCAATAAATAGGATTTTAAATGAGTTTTCTGCTTTTAATTCATTGAAGTGTTTGACGGGCTCAAAAGCAGCCATTTGTTAAACAAAAAAGTAAATATGTAGATATACTCAGATTAACAGAATTTCAAAACTTCATAAAAAAAAAAAATATATTGGCCCATTAATCGGTAACCAGGGCATTTTTTCTATTTGTATATGAATGCAGTGGCTGTTACAGGCCAAAGCTTGTGAGGGCAGCTTTTTTTCCACCTCTGTACAAATTAGCCTTCAGTCCTTTTTGACATTAAAGTTAAATTAAAAAAATGTTTTTGTTTCATTGCACTAAATACTGAAAGTGCTTCTCAGAAAGGGACTGCTGAGGAAATGGGTCTGACAGAGTACTCTGAAAACTAATGTAATGACTCATAAAGAGACTCTGTGAGTAAACTGGAGGCCGCATAAGCCCACCGATGTGACCCAGACAGCAGCATTAGCAAATAGATGCAGCCTAACATTTGTGGCTGTAATAGTGACAGCTATTACTCGAGGATGTGTACAGATGATCCTGTGCTCCTGTCTCTGTGAGAACCAGACATGTTTCAGTCTAGTGCTGTAACACATATATTACACATACACACACTCATTATGAGGTAGGCTACAGGCCACACGTGAACTTAGGGACTTTTTCTCCCACAGAATGAGATGTTGGGTTTCTCCTTTTTTCGGTATGTGCCTTGAAGAGATATGAAAATATTTCTTTGGGTGTAAACATTAGCTTTTCCTTGATCTTCTGCTCGTGTTAGTGAAATCGAACCAATTTGTGACCGAATCAGATGGTTAGTCATGGCTAATCTTACATCAGCAGGAAGCTTCTTTTTCAGTGAATCATGTGTAATAATCAGACATTTTCTGCTGTATCTGTCATTTAGTATTCTTGTGGTCTAGGCTTCATTACTGCCTGCTTCCTAGTATGAGCAGACACAAAAAGGTGGTGCTGGTGAATGTTGACAGGTTTCACTATTGTCTAAGCAAGTGTTGGCGTTTCTGCTGGGTCATTTCTGAATATTATTTTGGGAAGGAAAGGAGTAAGTTCTAGATAAAGACTCGTAACGGAAATAATTGTCTTTGCAGCTGTACTGGAAACGATGCAGTGGGCAGTATTCAGTCAATAATCACTCTCTTGTTCTTAATAACTCACTTTCTTACCCACATTCACAACAGACTTCATTACTTTTTTCGTATTTATACACCGCCCACACACAGCTCTGTGCACATGATGGATGAACCTGATGAATCCACCTTTCAGCTGCTATTCTTACTCATGCAAATGATACACACTTTGCACACTTTGCAAGACTCACTTGAGTGATTGCATTTGGATAATATAAAGGAACCTGATCAAATTTAACACTGTCTGTCTTACAGGATGTTAAATCCTCACCTCTATTCTCGAATCTGTGCCTTTCCTGCGCAACTGTGTCTCTCATCAAAAGAAAAAGTCCTATTTGAACATTAAATTTGTCCTAAAAAGCATAAAACTTTCAAAAAAAGACACATATCCCCATTCACAATTTCAACCACTAACAACTACAGCACCAATCAGATTTCAAAGGGGTGCCCATGCCCCATCACACCCTTCTGGAACCCCCCCTGATCCAATGGAAAGCTTTATTTCTTATTTTGGTTACACCTGTTCTTTAGGGGGGTACACCAATCTAGATTTACAAGGTGCAGACAGAGCATCCCAGTACCCAGGGGATGTCATGACAAAGTAGACAGACAGAACATAACTAAGTGACAAACACACACACACACACACACATTCCCCCTATCAAAAAAGAGGGCCCTGTATGAGTAAACCATGTTGGGACATCACAGGCAGCTCTGATGGTATTGTCTGACCTTGATTTCAAAGGTGCATATGAAGGGGGAGTGCATCCTCTGTGATAGCAAAGTGGGTTACAGTTGAGGGAGACAACCAGCGCTCCCCATGTGTCTCTCAACAGACAGATAGCTTCCTCCTTAGCGACAGTAGCAACCGAGGAACAGCATGTCCTTGGTGTCTAACCACAAAGCATTCACAGCACTGTCTATATCATGCATCTATAAAAACACCACCGCTTCTATCCAGCAACAATGGAAGACAGAGAGTCGGCAAACAGCACAAGGCCACTGAGGCTGCTGTGGCTCTGCTGGTTCTCAAAGAGGACACTGAAGTCACACAAACCCACATAGGGAAAAATACTCACCAACAGATTCAAGGTTCTCACAGGCCTGTAGGTGTTTTTTTCTTCTTTTTAATAATTCTACTCATTTGAAAGACTGTTAATATAAAAATGATAACCACCAATATGGAAAAATAAACTTAATACGTGAGTGCAAAAGACTGCTGTTCCTTGGGTGCCCACTTGGAGCTGCCTTTATGAATGAATGAAACCCCTTTATGCTCCATGTTAAAATGTCTTTTTATTAGTGGAAATGAACCTGTTTCACGGCCTGGTAAGAAGAAAACATAATATTGACCTTTATAGCTAATAACTCTGTTGCAGATGTATATAGGTTGGTACTCGCTTTTTTCAAACTCATCTATTGTGATTAGATTAACTGTTAATGTTTTGCATTATTGACCACATTTAGAGGGATGGTTGATTTGACTCACAAGAGTGCACATTGTAGCAACCTACAAAGATTCGTTTGGCTAATCTCTAACAACTTTAGACCATATCCATGTTTTGCACATTCAAAACACTCTTTATCTTTATAGGGGTCTCATATATGTGATTTATAAATGCAGGAATTGTTCGGTTTTGAGGAATCTGCACACCTCTATTTGTAGATGGGTCCTATTTCAACCTGTGGCCCTTAACTGCAGGTCATCCGACCATCTTATCTTCTCAGTAAAGGTATTAAAGCCAAACATTAACTTTGGCTTTTAAAAGTGTATTGTAGTCATGAGATTGCTGATTAGTACATTATGCTTTTAAGGTTTTTTGTAATCCCAGGTGCAGACCTGGAGGATTAGGTACAGACAAATAGCAGTGGGAATGGTCCTCTCTCTTTTTCAAAGGGATAAGCCATAGACATACTTAATCCCAACATTTGAAGTGTTTTTAATTTACTCATTGTTTTTATTTCTGAAACACTTCTTTTGTAAGAAATGGAGTGTCTTCTCAGCATCAGGAGTGCATGAGTACAGGGAAAGAAAGGAGCCTTACCAGCGTGTGTGCGCAGATGACCAGTGAGAGCATCGCGCCGCCGGCAGGCATAGTTGCAGAAGGGGCATTTGAAGGGTTTTTCTCCCGTGTGCAGCTTAATGTGTCGCAGCAGATTTCCCTTCTGGGTGAACGAGACACCACACTGGTTGCACTGGAATGGCCTGTCACCTGATAGAGGCAGATACAGGAAGTCAAAACCACAGTCACAGTGGAAGATGTTTTTAGAACGTACCAACAACCCTCAAAGTATATTTTTTTCTATAAATGAACTCATTGACCTTTAAAGTTTCAGCAACAGAACACAGAGTTTGTCACCCTTGTGCAGAAACTCTTAATGCCTGCTTTAGAATCAAGATGTTGATAAGGCCAATAATATTCCTGACAGCAATAATAATTAATGACAACTTAAAAACCAACACCTGGTCCTTGTTTTTTTCTTTTAATCATCTAGATTCCTCTTCTTTTTTGTTAATCTAAAGTATAGTCATTTCAATCATGACAAAACTACACTGAGTGAGAGGTTAACTTCACTGTAACCTAAAGTCACTTTAATAAAATTGTTATCATGAACTATTTCTGAATGCCAATCACTTCCTACAGGAAAGTAGTTTTATATGTGTGTCCATAGTCTGCATAAAGAGCACTGTGAATCTTATCTTATGATGAATGAGGCAGTTCAGTACTCTTAGATTTTACAGGATTTTACAGCTACTGTCTTCCGTTTTGAAAGCAAATCTTCTGATCTTCAGCCAGTTGGAAAACAGAAATACGATCCTGACGCTGAGACAACTAAAGCAGTAATGGCGTCAGTTGGAACAGGTTGCGGAGGATTCCAAGGATATTTTTTCCCTGATAATAATTCCTTGTCTAAGCTTTTGTCTTTGAACAAAAATAACCAAACAAAAACCAGAACACACTCCACACCCACTCTCACAGAAACAAATGATTTCTGAGTCACCCTCAAGATGGGAAGACAAACATACCTCACTGTTATTTAATGTCAGACAGATAAATATCCTGAGAGGATTCTGAAACCTAAATAAACTCATGAAAAAAAAAGCTTTACTGGAAAGCTTTCCTGAGGCCTAACAAGCTTTTAGGGGCATATGTAAATATCTCAATCAGTACCATTTGGTTGTCGATTTCCCGAATCAGCTGTCACATTTGATCCTGATAATCCATCCTGTGTGTTGTTTGGGCTGTCAGTCATGGCTTCCTCGAGTGTGTCTCCTTCCTCCCCTGTTTGGCCTATTTCTTCAAGTGCCGGGCTTCTGTTGTCAGCCTCCTCTGCAGTGTCTTCCTCTTGCTTAATTGTCACTTCTGTAAAACACATGGAAAGCAAGGCTTCTTTACACAGCTTGAGGTACGAGAATCAAATGACAGAGGATTTAAGGCATGCTAGATTATTCACGACTTTATGGAGCACTGGCAGAAATCAGTGCAACAGTACAGACAATGCAAATAACCAAAGTTTGGGTTAAGATGGTGAAAAGAGGACGAGTTTGAAATGCCCTTTATCTGGTTTGTCTTTGGATAAATTGGGTGGGTTACGGGTAAAATGAGTTGACATGCAAAGCTCATTAGAGAATACTCACTCTTGGTGGAAATGGCGCAACCCCTATAAATTTAAGCAGAACTAAAACTGTCACTGGAAATCATTATACATTTATGCTGGTTGCAGTTTCACTGTGCTTAAAGTAGCAGCTAAGAGGCAATAAACTCTGATGATACAAGATAATACATTGTAGAATAAGATGTACATAGACGATACACTTGTATACACTGATAACCAAATTGAGGAAACATCAGAGGCATTTCTCGTAACAATGGTAGTATAGGAATAGCATGACTACATGAGGCACCATATGAAGTCCTAGTTAGTTGAAAACAGCATCGGGATGGACTGACGCATAGATACAAGAGTGAGAGAGAAAGACAAGAAACAGGCTGGTCTGGTTCCTGGCTGTCCCTGGGGAGAAAGGGAGTGTCAGAGGCCCTGTAGCTTAGAACGCCTGACAGGCAATGGGAGACCGGCTGGATGACAAGGGTGAGAGATTGTATAATTGTTCATGTGCGCAAGCATGAGTATGTGTGGGTGGGTGTTAATGGCGGGAAACTATTCACCACCTGCAGTCTCTAGTTTAAAGTCAGTCAGCAGTAATTAGTAACCAATTATGCACGAGTATCACAACTATTGCAGCGAAATAATGATCCAGAGAGGAGAAATACACAACGGACGGACATGGCAACACCTGATTTCTTTCACTTACATTTGTGTCTGAATGAGCACTTTGTTTGGCTGCTCAGTCAAACAGAGATACAGTAAACTTCTCAAATCTGTTTTGGAGAATGGGGCTATATCATTGGTGAGAAAGGTCATGGGCATGATCCTTATGTTTTGCACAGGACCACAAAAAAGCATTTTAGTGTAAAATAAGAACATCCATTGCTCTTTTATGCAAAACATTTTAATACCATTCAGAATTTTAATTGTGTGTATATAAAGAAAAATAAAGCAGATAATTTGTATTAAAATTTGTAAACGTTTAAGACAAACATATAGTTAATGTAAATCAATTTGATTGAGCTTTGACAAAAAGAAGGCTTTGGCCTAGAAGGAAAAAAAAAAGTATTTTGCCATTGCAGGGACACAGTGCTTTAGTTGTTGCAATGCTGACACATTACTTGACCTTCTTTGTCATACAGTTAATCTACATTTATCAACAATAGACAAAGGGTTTTTTGCAACAATTACATGGGAGTCTTTCTTTTTTTTGCATATGCACTCTTGAAAATAATTAAATCGTTTGTAGAACAGCCAGCCTCTGAAATATTTCAATCAGGGCGAGGGGGCATGTAAGATGGTATTGAAGATGTCCGAAACAATTAGTCCAACGTTACACATGATTTCAGCTGTTGATAATGATTGAGCATTTTCACAAATGAAATCATGGGGAAGATCATACTAGAAAGTAGAAAAGAGTATAAAAAGCTTCATAGTACCCTGGTGATACAACCGTCATCAATCTCACATTTTGGCTCATTATGATCCTTGCCAAAATTTTGTTTTAGGCTGGCGGCAAAAGTCGAGGTAAAGTTTTGGTGACAGATTCAACCATTTGCATTCATATATGAAGCATGTGTGAATACAATCCTGCATTAGACTGCTTTGACTTAAACTCTGTTTTTTTCCTTATTTTGGGCTTTTGCCATAACTTGACAGGACGACTGGAGAGAGATGGGATAACATGTCCAGGCAAGGGAACTCTCACTGGACCAGTGCAATGAGGACTGAACTGACACCCTGCTCTCACTTTAACTGTTGTGAAAGGGGCTTTAGACAAAGTGTGGAAAAAGTCTGAACACCTCCCAAGCAAACTTACTGATCCTGATGATCCTGTTCAGGGAATTACCGTGGTAATAATCACTGTGTGAGCATATGAGATTGTTTTACAAAGCCTTCCATGTGAATGCATCCATCAAGTGTCCCCTCAGGCTTTGGAGCTGCTTGCACTCCAAGGCTTGTCAAAGAAATTTGAAAATTCAAGTGATAATTCCTTTATACCAATCTGTTAAGCAACAGCAATCTTAAAACTGATGCTGTATGTTTCCAATGCCACAGTTTGTACAGAAGAAACACTTATCCCCATACCCACAAAGCCGTTGAGCCTTGTCTTCATCTGCTGTATCCTGGCAACACGGAGCAGACCTGAACGTCCTTGCTACTCAGCTCTATGCATCTTTACATCTGTCTCTGGAGATGCAGTTTTGGTACATCTCCCCTCCTCTGGATAAACCACAGTAAATTCTGCTCTTTCTTTCTATCACCTATATTCAATAAAGAAAATGAAAGTAAAAGATCCCCATTGGTTACAACAAGTCTGTCCAAAAGCACCACATCGTTATGAAGGCAATATTCCATCATTCTCAACACTCAGACTGTCACCTAATGCCCAAAGGATGTAATTCTACTCTTCGCCCTTTTATTACCAGAGTCCACAATACCCAGACGACTGCTGTACAGTTGGTGTTTCAGCCTGAGAGTTTCATGCAGATGATGTGATGCAGCTCTTCTTTTGTAACAAAACCTCAAATAGCAAATCATGTTGGGCAACTTCAGCAATGACAACAGCTCTTATCGGTGAAGAGTATCTCCCTGTGAAAACCATGGCCCTGCCTGCCTCCCTGTAGCTCTAAACCTGTGGGAGACTTGCTTCCCTTTTTCTCCCTCTTCTCACTCAGTTTCCCCTTTTCTTTTTCTGCTGCTTCACAGTGACATTGCTTAAGCTAATTTGACACACAAGATCAAAAGGGCTGAAAGGAAGCAAGCAACATTTCTAAGTAAGGGCAACTGAGCACGAGTTGCATTCAGGCCTTTTTTTATTGAAATGACACCGCTTGAAACTTCTGCTACTCACTGTTGCAATAATCATGCCTGATTACCATATTGTTTTCTCACTAAATCTGTTTCCAAACAGGCTGTTTTGTACGCTGTTTTCAGTAAAGCTGAGACTGGACTTCATTTAAACGTAATTCTGTTAGAGTAGCACCTCACCTATAATAAATTGGTGTGATTTAATTCATGTCAACACATTACAGTAGGCTATTACTTTTCCAGGAGACTAAAAAACTAGGTTACACTTATGCTAACTTATTAGAATCTGTCTGTCTCTCTATGTTTATCTGTTACAAAGCTAATGTTAGCTGCTGCATAGTTAATTATAACTCTGCCTTCCCCTCTAATCTTTGTACAGCAGTGGCAGATGACTGTCTAACATGAATCTGGTCCTGCTCGAGGTTTCTGCCTGTTGAAAAGTTTTTCAACTGTAACTTCTGCAAAGCATTACAGCCATGGTGGATTAAGATGCGATCAGAGTGAGTTTGATCTTAGAGGATGGGACTCAATTTCATCCTATCTTTGCATTGGGTCTTTACATGGTTAAAACCAGCTCTCTTTGTAAAGCATTTTGGGATAACATCTGGTATGAATTAGCATTATATATAAAGACTGATTGGTTATGGTTAAGCACATAAAAAGTCTAATACTTTATCACAAACTCATTCCTGAGTATCTCACTACTATGAAAATAAGTTCAAACTAACAGGAATCTGAGCTCTTCAGCACATCTTCCTTTGTGGGCTTTGCACAGCTGAAGAACCAAGGAAAACTTCACAATAAAAGTAGACAGAAACTAACACTGTGTGACAGAGCCCCTTGAAAAGCAATGTTGCTGTGTTAAAATCATAAAGATGAAGATTCATGAATTTTTTCTCCTCTCCTGATTTCTCTGCAGTTGTCAGATGTGAATTTACATGATATACAAGCATTGGTTGTGACTGCCACCTGTGCTTAATTTGAAGGCTTTGTTTAACTTATTCCATCTTTTGAGTCAAATTTCTATATTAGAAAGCTGTTGGCTTAGTATCTGAAGTCTGTATTGCCTGTTCTAGGGAACAGGCAATAGATGTTGAGATAATGTAAGACTTTGCAGAGTTTGCGCATTTGTAAGCTGCTGCACTGTAGCACATGTTTTGTCATGGGGTTTTACCAAGTCATCTCCATCTTTAAACTGATAAACATAATCACTTTTCTATGAAGCATTCAGACAGGCAGAGTTTTGGCATGTTTTCCCTCCTTTATATAGGTCTACACAACATGATTTAAGAGGTGGAGGTGTTGTCGTTTACTCCTGTTAATGCAACTCTTGTGAAAGGTAAACAGTTAACACCCAAGTCTTCTGAGATTCAAGATACTGTAAAGATGAAAGTAAGCTGTTTTTGCAACTAATCCAGACTTTACACATCCCCAAGCTTTCTGACGTATGGTAAAGGCCAGCAGTGAAAGGGAAATAATGTAGTCTGTCTTTCCTCAGAAGGTTCTCATTGTAAAAGTGTTGAATTTCATCAAACAAACTACAAAGATAAGAATCATGTCATTTACTGGCAGATAATGGCATTTTTCCTAAAAGGGGAAGCTGTGAATGCTGCAGTTGTTGTTGGCAGCATGCAAAAATGTGTCTATTGATAGAGCACTCACCACTTGGGGAGTTAGGACCCTGAGGAACCGCCTGTCCATTAGGTGTTGACATATCCGCCAACATTCTCGAGTTCTCCTTACCAGGAGAGCATTGGCCGTTACCTGGGAGACAAACAGAAACAGAGCTGCTTTCACTGTGTTGTACAAGATTTCAGAGGTAAAATAAATACAATCAAATGCTTTAATGCCACAAAGTACTTTTCAGTGTAAAATCACACACAAGCAAGAAACAAATAGGGATGATTTTAATACCTAAGCAGAGATTTTTCCTGATGTATTTGCTCTTATAATGTGTAAATAAATAGGCTACTTGGTAAAGAAAAAAACACATTATACAAAAGCCTTGTTCAAGTTCTTCCCTCTCTGTTCGGTATTTATTTCATCCCCTCTTCATTTCCTATTGAGTCCAACCTGATTGGTCACTATGGAGGTCAACTTACTGAAAGCAAAAGGCGACTCTTTACACAGTCTCTATACACCTATATGTTCCCCTTATGTCCAGCAATTGTGGATCCGATTGCATCCTCTCAGCAATCTGCACAGAACCCGGGCTATGGATAGCCCTGTGTCCACTCTGAGGGAGAGCAAACCAATCCCTTATCCCCTTACACCCCAGCTCTGTCAGGGTCACTGGAACAATACAGTGGCAACAGGCAAACACCCCTGCTGACCCAGGTGTCAGATCCCTCAGGAACCACAGTGAGCCATCATTCAGTAGGAGAACTATTAAAGGTTAGCCTTCAGCTAATAGCAATGAAAGAGTTAGATTTGATTCTACAAGACAGCTGAAACCTTTTCAAATGGATGAAGTGATCACAGAAGCCAGGGAAGTTTCTTTTAAAATCAAAGGGACAGGCAACATGCTGCATCAGAAACCGCGACAAGGAAGGCCATGTTACAATTTGTCAGAGCTGAATATGGCTATAATGATTCCTCATACATGAAAAAGAAATCTGTGTCAGATCTTCTCTTGCTGTGACAGCTCCTCTTAGTCTGACAACCTCTTCTGTGGTATTGTTCCATTGTAGTGGCGGCCCCACTGAGTGAAGCATACTGGGAGACATTGTCCATGACACAATCCCTGGGCCTGGGCTCGGGTTGCATCGGCTGGGGTTGGAGGAAATCTCAGGTAACCAACATTGGCTATCCCTTGGCAATGCTGTCCTGGAGACAGGAGTGGCCCAGATTTGTCATGAAGGATTTTCCATTACTGTAGCAGACGCTGACAGCTGCCTAGCAGCACCTAGGCTAAGTTGTCTGAATCACTAAATGCAGTTTGGGGCTGTCCTGGTCAGAAAGCTAATACACTAGCAAGTAAATAATCAAATGGGCTCAGATACAGAAGTATATCACATAAAGAGTTAATGCAGCTGATGAGGTAATCTGTATTTCAATAATTATTCAGATAAGGACTTCAGAAGTTTAAGATTTGTGAAAAGAATATATTTTGGTCTTTAGCCATTATTAATCAGGGAACCACAAACACATGCATGCATGGAGGGATGTCTGTGCATGCTGAGTCCTCTGAGTATAGTCAGATCAGAATGCTTGCAGGGGGAACACATGTTAAGTATATTTTCAGTAATACTCCAAATTGGCATAATTGAATGTGCTGACTAATGGAAAGGAACAAATGTGTTCATGCGTAACCTACCATAGGTGTTATAAATGCTGACTTCATCAGTGAAGTCACATAATCACATAGTTTCTAAAGAACACTCATCCTCTCGGGGATCTAACATGGGTCAATGCAATTTCTGCTTTTAAAAGCTGTTGAAAAGATAGCATGAGCCAATTACAAATGGTAAGGAAGCGTATTTAATGATAATGAATCTAAATTAAACCAGGGTCAGGCTGAGCTGCCTGCCTGTGATGAAAAAAAGAATTATAAATACAGGAAATGTCTCAGCAGCTCCTTTAGGTGTGTGAGGAACTAAATAAGGTTCTTTTCCGCAGTGACAAGGCCCTCCTTTCTGGCTTACTGGATACGCACTGTTTGGAAGCTGGTTTTTCCTGTCAAACCCTAAGCCTTCCTTTAGACACAGATTCGTATCACACTCACACACACACACACACACACACACACACACACACACACACACACACACACACACACACACACACACACACACACACACACACACACACACACACACACACACCACTGCCCAAAAGAATAAAAGTTCTACACAGGAGGGAAAATAAGGCAATCATATGAAACTGTCAAAAATATATATGATATGTTGTGTAGGAGGCATACACTTAAATTCTGAACACATTAATATTTATTTATCTTATTCCAAAAGTTATAAACAGTATGTTGAGTGGGCAGCATTAGAGACAACAAACTTTTCATGAGAGGTTTTTCATATGAGTCCAGTATCTTAGAAATACTGATAAAGACTCTAATTGCCTGATTTGTCTTTAAAAGGCAAATAATAAATTGAAGCCTTTATATATTCACACACTAACAGGCTAAAACTCTCCTGAATATCTGCTTGTACTCCACTTTGCCCTACCCTACCCACAATATCAATGAGCAGTAATCAATACTTGTATTTGATAACAGCAGTGTTCGAGTTGACTGCGGTGACTATTTTTTTTATTATTAGAACAATAATGCAAATTTTGACAAACTGACTACTCCAAAAGTACAAAAACACTAAGAATACAGCCAAATACAGCACATTGTATTGACCTTGATAAAACACAGTGTCTGAATTAAGCATTTCTGGACAGTACAAAGCTCATTATTTGTAATTTGCCTCACCTTCAGCGTCAGATACCTCTGTCTTTGTTGTTCTTATTCTGCTAGAGGCAGACACTCAGTATGGAGTATGGTGTGTTGCGCCTCGCTAAAAAATACCAACACAGAATTTGTCTGGGAAACAGTCAGATTGAGAGACACTTGGTAGGTTTTACAGCAGGTTAAAATGAATGACCAAAGAACAGAGTAATTTTTTTTAAAGTTGTATTGTGGGATTTAATCCTCTACACATATAAAGTTATGTCCAAGGTGATCAGCATTTAAGGGTGTAATGCGTATTTTTACATATTACAGATTACGACTACCATTATCTAAAGGTGTGAATAGATATATTTGAGTTGAATCAGACGAGAAACCAAGCTAATACTGTCTAACGTGACTTAACACTTATTGGATAACATAAGCATTATAAGTACTGTTGAAATAATAAGTCATAAATTTATAATAATTTTCGGACTATAGATAAATGTTGGTATAATTAATATCTGAAAAATGAGCATAATCGTAACATTCTCCATGAACAACTTTTGTTGGAATTTGGCTCTTTTTCAACATTAACAACTGCTTGTTGAGTGATTCGTTGTGGTCAAGTGGTGAACCTTGTCCATAATTTCTCAGTTTTATAAAGTCTGACTGATTTACTAATGGGAATTTTTGTGTATGGTATAACCTTCAAACTATTTACTGTATTCAGTTACAGTCATACAAAAACAGGAAATTAAAATTCAAAATTTGAGAACCCTGGGATTTCCAAGTTCATGCTGTTCACTACAATGAAAGACAATGTAAATATACCTGCTGGAACTTTACAGCTACAGGGAGTAGTTCCTACGCATGAATCCACATAACCTTATTGAGTTCTTCAGATGTAATGAAATGAGTTTTTTACGATTATTAGTAGATGTTTCATGCTTAGTCAAACCACCTATGCCGAAACAAGGTACGAAAAAACAACAATTTCATTTACAATATGGAATTTCCCCTTGTGGGACGAATAAAGGAATATCTTATCTTATCTTATCTTACAACAAGAATAAAACTGTCAAGTGCCTCGGTGAAAGAAGCAATGTGAGAAAAAGGATGGTAAATAGTGCATGTGTTTTAAAATCTGAATATTTCAATGATGACTGTCACTGCATGTGATAATGGAAGATGTTTAGTTGAAAAATAAACGTTTCATGTAGGATGACAGGGATTGGCTGAGGCAATGACGGCCCCTGTTATTTGCCCTTGTGTTGATATAGTTCTGTGCACAGCTCAAAGTAAATCAGAAATTGAAACTGCTAATATCATCAATCATATACATTATATATGCAGTTGTTTCTATGTCTCATACTACTACTCTGAGTCACAAACACAATCTTATATGGACAAAGGCGACACCTAAGTGAATGATAGTAGGTTATAGAAATCTCCCACACAGCTATTCCGATTTCGTAATTTCTGCAATGCGTGTGGAACATGAACACGCATTCAAACAAAGTCAGCCCACTTTATTGTCCAATATGACTTGAGGTGTGGGCTAGCTAGCGAACAATGTGAGTGGTGTGTTTGTGAGTGTGGGTCATGGCTCAAGCTTTCTTAGAGGTATGACATCAGATCATGATTATCATGGCCAAAAAATATGAAATGGATAAGGTGACATTTAAAAAACAGTAAGTAAAACTGAGAAAAAGCAAGATTAGGGTGCAGCAACATGATAAATATATCTGTAAATAATAAGAGTCCATTATTACTGCAGATAATTTTAAAGTCATGATTCACCCAAATCACTGGCAAAGTAAAGGAAACTTCTAAAAGATGAGATTGCCTCACAAAAACATTTTTAGCATGTCCTTATTTTCTTATTTTCCCAAACATTTCAAAACTATGCTTTTATTTTGAAGAGCAAGCTACTTCCTGTAAGTGAGTTATGGAACTGAAAGGAAATAGAAGGACATTCTGAAAGTAAAGATATTAAATTGATAACATCTCAAAGAGATTTAAGCTCCGAAAATCATGAAATCAGTTTTTAAAAGTGCTTAATCGTCTCTTACAAAGCTGCTTCAACCCAGTTCGCTTCTCCCGTTATATGACATATGGCAACTAGTGCCAAGGACCACCTCTATGAACTCACAGTATCACTGTTTGCTCAATTTTAGCACAAAAACAACTTTTTATAAACTAATAAAGACAGTTTACAGTATGCTATGACAGCCCTACTTTAAGTATCATTATAGTTTATAGGCTTGATTTTTAAACTTTTTTGTGTTTTTATTTATTTATTTTTTTAGAGTGGCCAGAACAGAAGTCACCATAATGGACTAATCCACACAATGAAAAATAAGTATGTTTGTGTGCGTATGAACTCTATGATCCAGCTGAGCCATTTTCTTTAGTTCACTGTGTTATTTACTCAAGACCCATCAAGACCTGCTTGAACTAGACTAACAAACATTGTAGTCACTTTAAAAAACATTGGTTGACATGATAAAATCACCAAATTTTCAATTTCTGTTTTATTTTTCTCAACTAACAGTCTGAGAAGTATGCAGACATTTTCGTACAATAGTTGGCATTCTTACAAATTTGCTTGTTAGTGAGTGAGAATGTGGCTCCAGCCTATGAGTCTCCTTTGGAAATACACGAAAAGTAATACAAAAAACAGATTTCATATTATATTATGATTTAAGAGCTTTAATGAAGCAATTTTATTAATTTTATAATGACCAGGACAGAAGGTCCCACTTGGTCACTTTCTTAGGGTAGTCCTCATGTTTTCATGTAAGTTAGTATGTGTGTGTGTGTGTGTGTGTGTGTGTGTGTGTGTGTGTGTGTGTGTGTGTGTGTGTGTGTGTGTGTGTGTGTGTGTGTGTGTGTGTGTATCTTATTCACATTGGGCCGATTTCCTCAAGAACCATCAACATGTTTGTCAATTAGACTTAATTTCATTGACACCAAGCAGTTGGTTCAAATGCCAAACTTTCCAAATTTGTGTTAAAGTTCATCATAGAAGTCACTTGTTTACACAAGCAAAGCTGCAATTCCCAGCCACTGAATGCAACACAACTTTAGACATTTTACTCTGATAATATACATGAAACATAAAAGATAGGCATGATTGGTATTCTCATGTGGCGTTGGTAAGATACTTAGCCTCTCTCTCTTTCTCTCTTTCTATAATAAAAAATATAACTTACTTTGGATGTTGTTATACTCAAGTCAAAAATTCACCACATGTATAAACAAATAAATTCCCTATTCCAAGTTTTTTGTCACAGAGTTATACTGACTTTGTTTTTTTAATTTTCCATGGCAGCCTACAGAAACAAGGACTATTTAAAAAAGAAGAGTATATTTGTCTGAGGGAAATCTTTGCATTTCAGCAAGGAGGCTACGATTAAGTGGGGTGTAGCATTGCTTTATCGTTAAATTAGACACATGTAAAAGGCAGAGTTCATAACCAAAGACAATACAAGCTAATGCTGTCCGACTTAATGTATATTTTAGCAGTGATTTTTTCCAATGGTTCATGCTAACGGAATTGAGCGTCATCTCAGAAGCGACCCACGGCCAGACAGGAACAGGAAGAGCCTCCATTTCTTCTTCCATCACCGCCCCAACCCCGCCTGCCAAGTGTTCCTACAAGCGCAAACCCCCGATGGAGACCTAAAATCCCCACTGGTGTCACAAATAACATGCTACCTGTTTTTAGATCTGCAAAACACAGCAAAATACAAGAGGGGCAGGGACAAATACGAGAGACCTGCCCAGAGGAAACCAGCAAAGGGCAATGGAGGACCACAAAAAGCATATCCAGTATCTGCTGTGTTCAACAGGATGTGAACACACAAAGAACTGCGCTGGGGGAAAATCCCTCAAAACTTTAATAGTGTTGTGTTTGCATTATATTTTTGGAACAGCTGTATGAAAAAGCTAAGAAACACATGACGGTCAAATTAGGTTTGTAGTGTTCTCTAACTTCATGGCACATAGCTGAAATCAATACCATCAATATCACTGTCATCAGCAAATCTACGCAGAGAAAAACACCAAAATGTGCTGCGCTGATTCAATCCTGGGTGAAGAATAGAGGTCAGTATGAACTGAACACAGCATGTAAATCACTTACTAGCAGAGTGGCCATCCGCACCCTCCATTTCAAGTGCTTTGGGAGTACTGCAGGGAAAAAAGAAACTTCACTGACTTATTGCTGCAACACAGCATTTTCTTTTTTGTTTAGAGCATGCATTTGTTGTCTTGACCGTAACTCACATAAACACAAAAATGATGTTTACCTTCAGAAATTACCCTGATGAGGAACTCATACAATGTCTTGAATCCTGCACACAGCCTTTTGATTGAGATAATATGAACATGCAAATTCATGGCTGTTAGGCAGCTATGTGTGCATGAATTCCTCTGTGCATATGTGCATCGCAAATGAGACACTGGTGTGTGCACACTTCTTATAAGAGAAGTAGTCTGATATATTTAGCAAACCACCCAGTGAACTATTTTAAATTAGTGAACAGTGAAGTTTTAGTTTCATGTTCTCTAGCTACAAACGAACAAAAAAAATCTGTAGTCTTGATACAAGAAGAACTAAAGCAGCCACCGGGCCTCTGTGTTCTGCATTTTATTCTGAGAACTTGTGTAACTATTTCATACATGATCGTGAACTTTTATTTCTACTGAAATTATGCAACTGCTTGGCACACTCCTCCTATTCAACACAGGCAAGAGAGAAGACAAAAAAGCACCTAATCACTATAGTGACAGATATGGCTGTATAGGCTTCTCAGAAACGGGTTGTTACATCATTAAATGCAGGTTGCATGTAAACATTGTGCAAAACTGATACTGAGTGGACCATGCAACTTCAACCACTTTATAACTCAAGTGAAATGGGAGGCGTGTTGTTCCGAGATACATTTCTGTTTATTTCTAGTTCAAAATATTTTCTATTCCATATAACACTTGATGCCCAAGAAGATAATAAGCTGTAATGGAGTTACTTTTAACTTTGAGAAATTTCATGCATGAACGGTAGTCCATCCTTATTTCATCATGCATTCAAACGTGTTATCTCAGAATTTAGAGACTTTAAATGATCAAAAATAACTTCATCATTGAATCAAATTTACAGAAAAATATGTCTTATGCTACAGCACAGCTCCTTGTTTTGTCTTGATCTAAAAGAGTCATTGCAGAAATTTTTAATTGTTTGACATCTACTAAAGCTGCAGAGTGCCCCATATATCATTTTTCCCTATAGATTTCCCTCACTTCATACAGCCATGCCCTGTCTACAAAAAGTTTATTTCAAGTCTGGGAGTTTTTGAATTGTTCTCCCTCTGAGGTTCCAGCCAAAAATTTGTAATGCCTTTTGTATTACAGTGTAGCTCTTCATAAGATAAGTGTTGGCTGCCACAAATACAAAGTGAAACATAAAAGCAAATCAAGAAAGTGCAGTGAAACAAATAGAGGGATTCATATCATTACCTTCAAGCGTCTCCCCTGTGCAAAATTGGGTTGGTAATTTCAGTCAAGGACTGAGGTAGGGGGTGCTAAACTGTCTCCACCTCCCTTTGAGGAAACAAAAAAAAAAATCCAAATTACAAAGACTATATCGATCAATGCTATGTCAGAAAGAAAACACTCCTTTTCCCAGTCAGAATTTTTACATTTAAGTTAAATCAAAGGTATGGTGAATCAATTTGTTCAGGTTGTGAAAAGCAGAGAGAAGTTTAGCGCATCTATAGACTCCTACAGGTGACTGCTGCTGCGTCAAATCCTCCTCTCCGCGCGTCCTGTCGACTTTTCCTCTCTAAAAACGACACTAACCGTCCCGAGCTGTACTTGCTTCAAACTTGCGACATTTCTTCAGAAGTCTCTCGTCTATCAGCAGAGGCGAACACGACGCACTTTTACAGTAGGAACACCAAGAGGGGGGAAGACTCAACAAGTTGGTAATGGAAAGAAAGAGAGAGGGATGGATCAAACTGGATCCACCGGTTCCTAAGGAATTAGCCATAGCGAGACTGGGAGCAGCCAAGCTATTTTCAACTAACCAAGAGAGTGGAAATCCGTGGGCAGGCAGGCAGGGAATGCTAAAAAAGCTGCTGTGAAGATGAGACATGAGGTTTGACGGGCAGAGTCTCGCGCGCTTTAATCGAGCTTGAAATGGGAATAATGGGGTGTACCGTTAAACTGCTATGTGACCACTCCACTGCAAGAACAAGACATCAGATAATTAGTACAAAAATAAATGCTTATTATTCCCCCTTCCTGAATTGACTTTTGACACTTCTTCCTTGTTAGTGACATTACCGTGCCGAATTAAGAATAATGTCCAAAGGTGTGGTAGAACTATTTTAACAGCACCGGTGAGGACAGAGAGTCTACCTGTCAGACAACAGCACATCTCTGAAAATAACCATCACCTGCCAGCCTGGGATGCTGTTTTCTCTGTGACAGTGCGCTGTGTTTCCAGGGTAAAGTGATTTTTGCCGGCTGTGTGTTGGCATGGAGCTGACTGACAGCTTCAATTCAACAGGTTATCCGATCACCGCAGTCTACAGCAGAGCCCGTCTGGCTCTCCATTCATCAGACAGACGCTCCTTGTCTGCCTTTGCCGCAGACATGCGCCTCCAGCAGCTCTGAAGCGTCCCTATTCTATTTCTGTCGAATAATATTGACTGGTTGCACTAAAGCAGCGACAGAATGTTTAGTAAATCCTGGAAACCTATTCATGCACGAAGGTTTCTCCCGCTCTGTTTCATTACCTTAAACACGTAGGAGTTTATGTAATCCCGTGAACTTGCACATTGATCCAGACTGAATGTCTCGGCATGGAGCAGACTTCATTTTAGCCCGACATGCGCCATGCAGCGCCGACACAAAGCTAGTGGTTCCGCAGCGGCAGCAGCAGCAAAAGCAACAGTTGTTAAATCCACCGCTGTACTGACTTCCTCCTCCATCTCCTCCTGTACGGCACAGTACAGCTCAGCACAGCTCAGCACAGCAGCAACCCGCCCGAGTTGCTATTCTGGGAAGTTGGTCTGACACATAGAAACCGATCACAGAGTGTGGACCCAGTCTGTCTCTCCGCTCGGCGATCGATTAGGTTACAAGGGGGCCTCTCATTCCTGAAGCTGCAGCCAGGTTGAATCCCCGTGGAGACGAGAGCATGACGGTCACAAAGTGTCTCTGTTGGGAATACAGTGGAGGCTACTCGAGGACAAACACTGAGAATATTTTTCTGTCTTTTTCTGTGTTTGTGAAGCTAACAGGTGACTTCTGAGTATGACTATCTTTATGTAAATGTGTTGTCACAACTTGAAGTTAATGAGCCTGACTAATACTGGAGTTACAGTAACAAAAGCTAAGTTTAAAAAAAAAGGAATTCAAGTAAAAGAGAACATAGAGAAATATGTCAATGTCTGCAAGAAAAAAAAAATTTAAAAAACATGCATATAAATTATGTTGAAGGATTTTAAACAAAATGTGGAATGAGAAGCTCTGCAAATTGAAATATATAGATATTTTTTAAAAACTTCAATTCTACTACTCAAGCTTGTATGTACAAGCCACAAAGAGTCTGGGCACAAATATATATTTTGATGATTTCTTAATCATTTAAAACCCATAATTGAATGAAATAAGTGCTGTACAAGTTGATAGTTTCATTCAAGAAAATACGCTCATTTTTGAAATGTGATGTCAGCAATAACTTTAAAATATAACACTGAGAAAAGATGGGTACATTTGGAGGAAAATATTTTAAATAATACATCTATTTTGACTAAAGTGGTGCTTCATTCTGATTTTACTATGTAAATACGGATGTTACTCAGCATAAAAGCGGAGGGGAAGATGACATTTATTAGCTATACAATAGAATTAAAAGATTGAGAATCTAGATTAATTTCTGTTCAAAATAGACAAAATTAAAAAATCAATACTTGGATGGCAGCAATCTTCACAGCCTCAGGGGGCACTGCATTATCCAGAAATGCAGGAAACTTCTGTGTGACCCAGATGTTCTGAGGTGGAATTTCCTGTGGTCGGACATATGAAAGTTTGACAGTTTTTTTGGAAATCATGGATGCTACATTCTCCCCTCTGATCAGAGAATGAGGACCACCCAGCTGGTTATCAGCACACAATTCAAAGCCAGTATCCCTGATTCCCTGAGGGTATGATGGGGATATCTAAGTACTCATAGCATGGCACTTGAACACATCTGGGAAGGCATCGTTAATTCAGCAAGAAGATGGCATTTTTACTCACAGGAAATAAATTAATGAATAAAACTCCAGAATTAATTTTGTTGTTTCTCAGATGTTTACAGTGTGTTGTTAATAGAGAGGGGTGGGGGTAACATTGCCCCTATCCCACCAGTTTTGACAAGTAAGTTTAAACTGCGCATAATGATAGTATTTGTCAGAGACATTGATTCTGCAGTAGCATCCAAACTCTAATGGGAATACGGTTTAGTACATCAGTGTGTTAAAGAGTATCACATCCCACTAATGAAAGGGTTGGACTCAGGTTGTTAAACTTTTAGGCTGGTGACAAAAGGGTGTAAGATGCTTATCAAAATATGAACAGATATAATTGTGAAATAGCTTGCAAAGGTTAAAGCATCAACATTTTCCCTTCAAAGGCTGAATAGTAGTTTAGTCGCTTAATTACTTCATAAATGTAAACCTGGTTGACGAATATGAAAATATAAGTGATTAAATATTTATTTTCCAAAAATTTAGGTACGTTTAAGCAGTAAATGATGTAAGTGGTTGAAATGAGTTGTACCCTTACTGTCCTATTGAGCTGTGGTGTTCTAGATTTGACTGCAGTTAGAAAACCCATGAAAAAGTACAGCTGAAGGACACGTCAAAATATTTTTCATAAATAACCACAAAGAGATGCCTTCTGGACCTCAGAGGAAAGTCCAAGATATTTAACATCTTTAATGAACGGATAAACTTGATTATTTTCATTGCAAATATGTACTCATTTTGAATTTGATGCTGTAACACACTCCTGAAAGAAGTTGGTTCAGGGTCCACAGAAGTCTGAGAAAATTCAGGATTACTCCAAAAACACCTGTTTGGATCATTCCACAGGTGAACGGGTTCACTGGAAACAGGTGTGGGTCAAAATTGGGTATCAAGAGGAGCATCCCTGAAAAACTTAGCCTTATAAAGGCAAGGATGGAACCAGATTCACCACTTTGTGAGAAACTGCGTTAACTGCATTAAAAACCCTCATCATTCTGTAAAGGATATTGTCATGTGGGCTCAGCAGGACTTCAGAAAATCATTGTCAGTTAACACAGTTGGTCTTTACATCAACAAGATCAAACTCGACCACGCAAAGACAAAGACAGATATCAACAACAGCCAGGAACAATGCAAGCTTCTCTGGACCTGAACTCATCTGAGGTGGACCGAACCAAAGTGGGAAAGTCTTCTGTGGTTTGACAAGTCCACATTTTAAACAGTTGTTGGAAATCATGTACGTGATGTCCTGGACTAAAGAGAAAAAGGACCATCCAGACTGTTCTCAGCTCAAACTTCAAAAACCAGCATCAACAGTCAGTGTCCACAGTTCACTAAGGCTTATTAAATGTTATTAAAGGAAAGGTGATGTAACACAGAGAGAAACATAACCCTGAACCAGGTTTTTAGGGACATGTTACAGACCACAAATTCAGTATGAGTGAATATTTACAAAAAAGCAATCAAGTTTATCAGTTTGGACATTCAATATCTCGTTGGTGTGTATTCATTTCAATATAGGTAGAAAAGGATTTGGAATCATTGTATTTTGTTTGTATTCACGTTTTACATAACGTCTCAACTTCACTGGAATTAATGTTTGTATATTCCTGATGGCCGACAAGTCATTCAGAGACAAAAAGCAGGGTCAATTTTACATTTTAAATACTTGGGTATGTTATGTGTGAAAGGCAAAAGTACTTTGAATAAAAGAAAAACTGTAAAATATTCTGTACTGTAAGAAAGCCGTAAGAACATCTGTAAATCTAAATTTTCCTTTGTCATAATTTATTTTGAGAGCTGTTTTCAGTAGCAGTTGTCAAAAGTTCAACAGGGAAAACAAACAGTCTGTGTGGAAAAAGCACATGTAGTTAGTTCTTCTCAAAGTGAAGAAGTGGTGGCATCACTCAGCCAGACTGTCTCTCATGAACTCTGTTTTCACTATGAGCTTCATGTCTGGAAACAACGACTCCAGATTTGAATCAGCCTGCTCAGATTCAAATCACTGAAGGAAGTTTCTGTGACTACCTGTCCTATTTCACTAACCTAAATGTTCATCGATACTTATATTTAAAAGATACTTATCTGGTAGAGAAGTGTAGGTTATTACATTTTCAGCACACCTACTTTTTGTTGAATTTGACGGATTATGAGTCACAAAAGGGACAGATGTGGCAAATGTCTGATCCTATCCAGTTATAGGATTTAGGGGTATCACTTGGGTGGCTGATTGGATCTCATAGGGGGGTCCCTGCCAACCCAGCTGCCCCTTTGGACACACCACTGCCCATTATTAATATATTCTATCACCCATACTTTATACAGTAAGCGTGTTTGTTGGATATTTCACACTATTATGTATAATGAGTACTCTACAGTCATAGCAGTTCACAGTGGAGCCAGTTCCCATGACTTAAATCGGCTAATTTATTTATTTATTTTTATTCTATTTATTTATCTTTGTTTAGTTGCTAATTGAATTAAAACCTTGTATATGCCTTGTCTTTAAATTGTTACAAAATAAATCTGTCATGAAAAAAATAAACCTATATTCTGATGTTTTATTTGTGTAAGTACCTTTTTTCTTTTTTTTTTTCTTTTTTAAACAATTTAGAGCTTATGTGAAAACAAAGACCCAAAAACCCACAGACTAACAAGTCATGTGAAAGATATTTAAAGTGGTCTTAAAGTGAAGTCCCTCTACTAAATTAAGATCCAAAAGAAGTCACAGGAGGAGGGCAGAACTTCCCCATACTATTAATAGCACCTCCACATTCACACTACCTACAATAAAGTTAATAAAGTGAAGTTAAAGCTCTTGTATTATTTCATAAGAAATGTAGTTTAATTGGGGGATCAATGGTTGCTAGGTGCTTTTGCTTTCAGTCAGTGCTCCCTTGTTAGTTTGTATGCGTCACTGTTGCTCATAACAATTTAATTTCAACACAAATCCTAAACTCCAAATGCTGGACTCTAGATTAGATTAGAGCATTGACAGTGTTTTGCATCACAAAAAAAGAATGACTGTATTCTTATGTGTGCAGTTCGGTCTTTTTTTACTTCATTCTTTGATCCTCAATGACTCTGCTGTTAAAAAACAGTAGTTAGATAGTGCTAAGATTTCTGCGTTTGAAGCAGATCTGCCCCTGAGAACGGTGTAGAAACAAAAGTCCTGCTGTTAAATGATGAAAGATTGATAATTAAATCAGAATTCAGTAGTATTGAGGATCAGCCTGGAATTAAGAATCCTCACAACATCACATAAATAACAAGTCTTTGTCTTTTTAAAACCCACTCTGCCAAATTAAGAAGCGCTTCAGTACTGCTTCAAATCACCTCTCTCTAGCTCCCCCTAACAGTGATAAAGGGACAGCATCAATGGGCGAAACTCAAAGCCCCATTTAGATCACTACCACTTTGTTGTAATGTTAAAAATCAAGTAAAACCTTATCTCATGGCCTGTCATTTATCTACCAGTGCAGGATCTTTAAATATTCACTCCAGTCTGTTTCATTGTTGGGAACTGTTGGACTGATGGAAACCTTGACACTGTTTAGATGTTCTTATACATTATAGTCAACCTTATTTTATCTGCAATGTGTTATTCAGGCTGAATTTTATCATTAGTTTAGGTGGCTAAATGGTTCCCCCTACTGGACTAAAAATACTCTTAAAATACTGAACTTTTTAA